CGGGATCGACCAAGACACGCTTGACTTTAGTGTCTCGGACCATCATGGATATTACCAAAGCGTCGTTATGGGGTTGTGCTGGTCCATCGATTTCCTCGTTGCTAAAACACAGTGTTCCCTCTGGTGCATAATCCCTGATCCGCTTCTCCCTTGTGATCGATATCTTGGTACGTTTCAGTATTGGTACTTGAGGTGCGTCTTCCCCTCCAATTATCATGTTTATGGTGTGCCGGGGTTCCTTCCTATCGGCTGGTCGATCTCGATTTTCGTAATGATTTTTGGCCCGATCACTGAGAAATTCTCGAAGGTAACCTTCATCGAGCAACCGGGCGACTTCCTCCCGCAGTTGCCTGCAATCTTCGGTTCTGTGGCCATGTGTGTTGTGGTACTTACATATTAACTTGGGATCCCTCCTCGATGGATCGGACTGTACGGGTTTGGGCCATCGGGCTTCTTTCATACGTCCGATTGCCGACACCAGGCTAGCCGAATCGACACTGAAATTATATTCAGCTAATCGGGGTGCTTCCTGTCTATCGACGGCTTTCACGAGGTTGGCCTTCGGTAACGGTCTTCTGTTCCTCTCATAGCCGCGATCGTTCCTCATAAATTTAGGCCTCCTATCATCCTGATACGGCCGATATCTTTCCTTGTTCGGTCTTGAATCTTTGTAGTTTTCCCTACGAGGTCGATCGAAATTCCTATGTGTGGACGGCGAATCCGAACTCGCTCCACTGTGGTCGTCCTCTACCCTTATCTTCGATTGGTACCGGTTATGGATGTCTGCCCACGTAACTGCTGGAAACTCGATCAGACTTTGCTTTAATTGCCTGGATGCGGCTGAGCTATTGGCGTTCAATCCTTGAGTGAAGGCTTGTACTGCCCAGTCATCCGTGACTGGGGGAAGATCCACCCTTTCCATTTGAAATCGAGACACAAATTCCCGGAGTGTCTCGTTTATGCGCTGTCGGACCTTGAATAGGTCGGATTTCCTTGTTTCTACCCTGATCGCCCCGGCGTGAGCTTTCACGAAGGCATCGGCTAACATGGCGAACGAATCGATGGAATTTGGCGGTAAGTTATGATACCACGTCATTGCCCCCTTGGACAAGGTTTCTCCAAACTTTTTCAACAAAACTGACTCGATTTCATCATCTTCGAGATCGTTTCCCTTAATCGCGCATGTGTATGCTGTCACATGCTCGTTTGGGTCCGAGGTCCCATTATACTTCGGGATATCGGGCATTCTAAATTTCTTAGGGATAGGTTTTGGGGCGGCACTGGATGGGAACGGTTTTTGTACAAACTTTTTAGCGTCAAGGCCTTTCAGGACCGGAGGTGCACCTGGTATTTGGTCGACCCTGGAGTTGTATGTTTCTACTTTTTTATCGTTGGCCTCGATCTTTTCCTCCCCCTTTTCGATTCGTTCGGTCAATTCTTCTAGCCTCCTAAGAACCGCAGAATCAGCATCCGGCCCACCCCGTTCCGGCTGTACTGGGGTCGGATTGATGATTGCAGCTGCACGGGGAGCCTCCTCGGACCTGACAGGCTCCTGGACCCGGCTCTGGAGCTGAGCTATAGCCGATTGCTGGGCTTGCAGCATGTCAAAAATCATTTTAAGGTTGATAGTCTCTTCGCCGACTGCCTGGGCCCTCGAATCGTCCTCTCCCCGGACGCTATGTGATGATCCGGAGGCCTGATCAGTGTTGAGCGCCATCCGGGAATCGGCATCTATCGGGTTTTCGAGCCCGGGCATTCCATTGTTTCCTGTCTGCTGTTCAAGTTCGTTGTTGATTGATTGTGCCATTCTATGAGTTGGTAATTTGAATGTAAGATGGACTCTTTTGCAAAGAACCAGTGTACTGTGATGCGTCAAGAAAGAGTATCAAAGAGCTCACTAATATCCTTAACCCCACGGTGGGCGCCAAACTGTTTACCCTGGAATCCGGATAACAATTGAATTTATATGGGGTTTTAAGGATCCGTGAACTAAAAGATACAAAAGGTTTGGATTGAGGAAAATAAAAGATAAAGACTCAACAATTGCTGTTAAAGTAAATAATCGCAGAATATAATATTGCTTAGAACAATTGTGCTTGATAGCGTACAAGAATTGAGAGAGATGGTACTGTAGTGTAACGGTTTTCGATCCCCTCTTTATGGGGTCTTCTCCCCTTTTATACATTCTGATTAAGGGTAAAAATAAGGTAGGTAAATTAATTACATCGTGGATCCCTGTAATTACGCCTTAATGGCCTGAAGTGGTTGAGAAAATCACGTTTGGGCGAGATATCCGGCGACGCTTGGTTATCCATTACGAGTCCGGCTTCCGACCTTGTGTGTTTCTCCACCCGGCGGTGACTCATATCGAGCTCTGCAACGGTCTCGAAATGACTCGACCTCGGTTGTTGACGTGGCCGTCGTTCTACCTTGCATCCAGGTCGGGTTCGATGGCCCCGACTTGCCCCGGACCGGACCCAACCCGGTCGGGCTCAAGCAAAAAGGATATCACCCAATACAGAAAGATGATCCAAGGAAAATTTGGCATGCAGCTAAGGTGGGACTAGCTCTCACTTTAGTATTGTTATTCTACTATTCCTGGCCGCTCTATCATAGCTTTGAACAATCAACAATAATGGCTTGCCTGACTGTGATGGTTGCTTTTGAGTACAGTGCTGGTAATTTTTGTGATCTCAGTGCATTCTCATATTTCTTCGGATTTGATGATCTTGTTTATTCGTTTTTACACTTTTCATATTAAAGACTTTTATTTTTTCAGGTGCAACTATGTCTAAGTGCATAAACATAACTTTTGCTACGGCCCTAGGTGGCACATTAGGTATTGGAGCTAAATATTTAGCTGAGCTTTGTGGAAAAGAAGGGGAACCTATAGTTCTTGGGTTTTTGGTCTTCATTCTAGGTATGAAATGGAAGCTCAATACACTCTTTCTCTAAACAAAATGTACAAAATAAAAAAATTGTTCAATGTTTTCCCAGTTTTAAAAATTTTACGTGATGATATATAGCCAGCTAGAAGTCCTTTTTCATAATCAAATCATAATTGTTTCACCGAACAACAGTAGAGGTACATTGGCCGATTCGGTATTTAAACTTTACGGGTTCATCCTTTAAGGTTATTAGCATAAATTTATTATAATTTATGAGTTATGTGTTCATATCTTTGTTCATTAGTACAATATTAGTGGATTTTATCCGTAAATTTATACTCCGCATGAAAAGCAAATAGATTCAAATGAATCCGGTATCGTAAGGGTGGATCCGCCCCTGGGTTAGGGTATATCAAAGACTCCTTTGCTTCAGGCAGGTGCTCTAGGTACATTTACAAGGTTTTACCCACATATGCAAATGAGGTATGACTATGGATGCATGCTCTTTGTCGCAACCTTCAGTTTGGTGTCAGTCTCCGGTGACAAGTACTTGGATTTGGATAAGCAGCGGATATCCACCATTATGGTCAGTGTTGCAACCGTCATGATCATCTCCTTGCTTATTTGTCCAGTCTGGACTGGGGAAGATCTTCATAACCTTGCTATTACCAACCTTGAAAAGCTAGCGAGCTTCTTAGAAGGTCCGTTGGATATCTTGATTTCTTTTGCTCCCTCCGTTCGGTTTATGTGACAGTATATTCTTTTTAGTTCACGTAAAAAAGAATGGTAGAATTAGAAATTTAGAATCAATTTATTACATTTCTCGTAGGCCCTGAAGGACAAGGCTTTATGATATGTTTAAGATCGCAAATTTTAAATTGAAATGGAGGAAGTACGGTTTAACCTTTGTGACTCCATTATTAAGAATTTATGTGGAGCAACAAATTGAAAAAAAAAAAGAACTGTTTTTTTTTGTTGAAGGATTTGGAAGTGAGTATTTTGACGTTTCAGAGGCTGAAGCAAGTGGCGAGGGCTACAAGGACAATAAAAAGGGTTTTTTTTGAAGCCTTTAAAAGTGTTCTTGGTTCTAAGGCCAGTGAGGAATCTTTGGTGCGTATAAGAGATCACAAATCTCCCTTCGTGTTCATTCACTAGTACACTAGATATATAGCTAGACTATTGCATAATTCAACTTCCATTCAATGCTCTTAATTTGTATTTTAGTTGTGGAATTTCTTTAGAACGACTAAAAAGAGCAGTTATTCTCACAAGTTTGAATTTTCCTTCTTTACTGGCGGAATATTAAGTCAGTTGTTGCGGTGAGAAACTCTTTAGTTTTTCACCACTCTGAAAAGTATCAAAACAATAATTACTTTCAAGAGAGAATAAAAATAAAAAGGAATATAGAAGGTAAAAGAAAATTAAAGAAGTTATTGTCATATTATCTATGGTGATTAGTGCGTGTTGGGTTTTAGATATCCACAAGATGAGTGTCGCATTGATGCGAATGTTAAGATGAATATAGGGTCATACAAATTTCCATAAAAATGCAATAGAACATAAGAGACTAATGTTGCTTGAGATGCTTTGGCCACGTGATACGTAGGCCTTCAGATGTACCGATTTTTAGACCTAAAATTATGATGATTGAAAGAGTTAAAAGATAAAGAGATAGACCTAAAATTACATGGCAAAAAGTAATCTCATAAGGTAATATCTAGGAGTCCGAGCAAATCTAACAAAAGAAAGAAAATAATGGAAGTTAACAAATTGTAATTGGTGATACCATCTAGAAGACTAGTTCTTACCAGAAGACTCCTACAAGTATATTAAAAATTATAACCACAAGAGTATATTAGAGAACACCTAGTGTTAAATAACAGTACATAAGTATTGAGTATTTAAATATGCCTAAACAAAAAAATTTATGATAGTGAGGATTTATATAGCATATTCAACTTTGAAATGTCTTAGTTCATCGATTTATCATATTGTCTTGATAAGAGAAACATTCAGGAGCCATACAGTAAGCAAGAGAAACACATTTTCTTGCCTTTTTTTCTCTCCCTTCTTTATCAGTGTAGCAAATAAAAAATAATACAAACAAGAAAAATGTCTCAGGCAAACATTGCATGGTGGGAGCCTGCACACGGATCATTCAGGTTTAATCATCCATGGAAACAATACTTGAAGATTGGCGGAATTGCTAGAGAATGTGCTGGCCATCTTCAATCTCTTAGTGGTAACTTAAAATCCAAGTCTCAGGTATATATATTGCAAGTATACTTGCACGATCATAAATTACAGTTAAAACAATTACGTAGAATTTAATAAAAAATATATTCAATTTGGTATGGTATATATGCATAAAATGGAAGCTTGGATAATGACATAAAAGCGGTTCTGTCCTTAAAAGAAAAACACGAAAAGTGCTTGTAAGACTGTAAACTGCATACCTCAATGATAATAATTTTGAAGACATTTTTCTGCATGAAATTTAATCAGAAATGAATTAAAATAAACATTTAAAGTTTAGACTTTTTAATAATAATAAAAAAAAACCTCTAATATTGTCTGAACTAGTACGGCAGTATTTGGGACTTGGGAGTCACAAAATGCTTGACATCAATTCGTAGTATAATTTTCAATCATTCTCTTCAAACATCACGAATATCAAATTTTAAAAAAAAAATCTCTGTAATTCAGCCAAGTATCATCCATATAAAATTGAACTGAGGTGTGCTGAAGACACAATTTGAGCTTAAATGGTGAAGTGAGAATTCATGTAGTCGTTTCTCGCTTGTTTGATATTGAAGCATTATTGTTGTTGTTAATATATAAAGGGTAAATTTCACAAATGGTCATATAACTATGATTTTTTTTAATCAAAGCCATGTAACTAGTTTTCTCACACAAAAATCATAAAACTTTCACTAACTCACAGAATAATTATAGTGACCGGAAAGCACAACTTTCCGATATTTTTTTCTTATTTCATACTTTTTATTTTTAATTTTAAGTTTAATAAACAATAACCAAATTAAAATAGGAGAAAAATATATTTTTAGATGCCCCCCAAAAATAACAGCTGATAAGATATACTCCATCTGTTTTAATTTAGATGATATTGTTTGACTTGAAAAAAAAGAAGACTTTTGAAACATGTGATCCTAAAAGCTTAAGGTTTTGTGGGATCATGATTTGTGTTCACATTAAGTGTAAAGTGGAAGTATACTTTTTGTGTGTGTGTGTATATATATATATATAATTTTTAGCTAGAGAATGCAATTAGTTTCGATCCACCAGTCAATTTGGTATTTTTTTCTTAAAATAAGAATGACTTAACCCACTTAATTAATACTCACATATATATATAATTAAAATAATACTAAAAGTCGAAGACCCCCCCCCCCCCCCAATCCAAAATATTAGTTTAGAATGCATGAGATTATGAAAAAAAAATGGATCATTAAAGAGCTCTTGAAATAATAATACTATTAATTTGAATAAAAATCTTGAAAAGAAAAATAAAAGATAGAAGTATATCGTGTTTGGAGAATTTACATTTAATATTATTTTAATTTATATATATATGGGTATTGGGTCGAGCGGGGTAGGGTCAGGTTGGGTCGTTCGTATTTTAACTCGGTTATTATTTATTAGATAGAAAATAAAAAATAAAAAAACATGAAATAAGAATACTGTCGGAAAGTTGTGTTTTCCGCTCACTATGATTTTTGTGTGAGTTAGTGAAACTTTTATAATTTTTATGTGAGAAAACATAATTATATAACTTTGATGAAAAAAAATAATAGTTATATGAGCATTTGTAAAATTTATCATTTTGTAGTTACACACTACTAATATGTTGTGTCATCTGATCTCGTAAAACTTACTCAATTATCAATTCTTCCTTTTTATTTCCCATCAAAATATTTAGGTGATTTTATAGCATTTGTTAACCTAGAAGCTATTTTGGAGCTATATAAAATTTCTAATTATCACACGTGCTTGATTTTCCAGGCACCAACTGAGTTCAATAGAAGAACAGAAAAAGCATGCAAAAGAATGATAGCTGAATCTAGTAAAATCTTAAAAGAGCTTGCATTCTCCATCAAAATTGTGACGAAACTTTCTACCATTACAACGGAATCTCACTCGTATAACGCAAGAACTGCCATTGCTGATCTCAAAGAGGCACTTTTTACGTTTAAAACCTTCTTCTTGTTCGAAGAAGCAGACACCATTGATGTCATCGGAGCTATGTCAGTGGTGTCGATACTCATTGACGCCACCAAATGCATCGACAAAATCTCGGAGGCTGTTGAAGAGCTTTCAATTGTAGCACGTTTCAACGAAGAGGAAAAGAAGGAAAAGAAGAAGAAGGACGATTCTTCTTCGGCCAAGGCATTGGAGAAACCACCGCCTTGGCTGTTGGGATAAAAAATAAATATTTCGCCCAGAAATAATATCCACGATAAATAACAACAACACAAGAGAGTAACAACGACACCAAATATTTTAACGGGGTAAAATACAATATCCGAGCAGAGCAATATTACCACTATAATATTACAACTTAGTAGTGTCAAGAGACTACTACAACTTCGAAAGAAATAACACTCTTTATTTTAAACACCTCACTACAATATTACTCTCACTCACTATTTATCTCACAGACTACAATCTGTGGATTACTCTCTGTATGATCTATTCGCTCTCTGATTTTGGTGTCTCTGAAATGAGGAACAAGGGCCTCAATTTATAGCACGAAGAGTTGATAGTTTAACCAATCAAAATTGATCGGTATCTCACAACTTCAACCAATTTGCCAATTTGCATATCTTGTAAATTGGGTCCACCGCCCAGCCACAAATCCATCCAATCAACATTTTTTTTCTTTTATTTTCTTTTATTTATTTGGTTAGGTCCCACAAATCTCTCCCTTAATTTTGATTTTTCTTTTTCATTCCAAGATTCAACCTCAATCTCTGGAAATCTTCAAGCTTGAGAGGCTTTGTAAAGATACCTGCATCTTGATCATGAGACTTCACATATTTGAGCTCGATTTCCTTCTTGGCAATGCATTCTCTGATGAAATGATACCTTGTATCTATATGCTTGCTTCGAGCATGATACACCGGATTCTTTGCGAGTGCCTGTGCGGATTTGTTGTCAATACAAATCTCTGTAGCTTCAATTTGTGATAAATTGAGCTCCTTCAATAATCTTCTCAGCCAAATAGCATGACACATACAAGATGTTGCTGCTACATATTCAGCTTCACAAGTCGAGAGAGTAACTACGGACTGTTTCTTTGAACTCCAAGAAATAACAGAATCACCCAAGAAAAACACAAAACCAGGTGTACTTTTTCTATCATCAATATCTCCCGCATAATCACTATCACAAAATCCCATAAGGTTGAAACCACTAGAAGAAGAATAAAATAACCCAAAGTCAATAGTACCTTTAAGGTAACGAAGAATTCTTCTAGTGAATTTCAAATGAGTGGAGGTAGGAGCTTCCATGAAGCGGCTTACTACTCCAACTGCAAAGAGTATATCTGGCCTGGTACAAGTCAAGTACCTCAAACTTCCCACAAGAAATTTGAGAAATGTGGGATCCACCTTTTCTCCTTCATCAAACTTGGACAATTTTGTCCCACTCTCCATCGGTGTGTTCACGAGGTTGCATTCGAGCATGTTGAACTTCTTCAATATCTCTTTTGTATAGCTTTCTTGAGAGATAAAAATTCCATCCTCCATCTGCTTCACTTCTAGGCCCAGGTAGTATGACATGAGCCATACGTCTGTCATCTCAAACTTACGGGACATATCTTTCTTAAAAGCTTCAAACAAACTTGAGTTATTACCCGTGAAAATAAGGTCATAAACATAAAGACAAACAAGTAAGATATCTCCATTAGTATGAACTTTAAGGTAAAGAGCATACTCATGGAGACAACGAGTAAACCCATTGTCTTGAAAATACTTGTCGATGCAACTATTCCATACTCGTGGGGCTTGCTTTAATACATATAAAGCTTTTTTCAACCGCAACAATTTATCTTCATGGTTTTTGACCACGAAGCCCAATGGTTGTTCAACATAGACTTCTTCTTCAAGATAGCCATTTAAGAAGGCTGACTTGACATCTAGTTGATAGATCTTCCACTTCATTTGTACCGCCAAAGAGATCAGCAAACGAATCGTCTCCATGCGGGCAACAGGTGCATAGACTTATTCATAGTCAATGCCTTTCCTTTGCTTATAGCCTTTAGCCACAAGTCGTGCCTTGTATTTCTCCACATCTCCATCAACATTCTTCTTTATTTTGTATACTCATTTCACTCCAATTGCTCGATGACCCTTGGGAAGAGTTGTTAACTCCCAAGTGTTGTTCTTCTCTATTGACTCAATCTCCTCTTCCATGGCTTGTCTTCACTTTTTGTTTCTAACAGCTTCATCAAAGTTCATTGGTTCACTGTCAGCAAAAAGACAACATAAAAAATCAAAATTAGTAACTTCTTCTGTGTCCTCATAGAGCTCTTGAATACTCCTTGTCCTTTGTGGCTGTTCATTTGAACTTTCTTGAGAAGAGGTAGATGCAACATTGGTTGGAGAAGGAGGTGGAGTTGTATCCTGCACAGGTTCCACGGTCTCTGGTTCTTCTTCATCACTATAATATGGAAGAAAATCATATGAAGTTTCTTCCTGAGCTTCCCAATCCCATGCCAATTCTTCATCAAATTCAACATCGCGACTTACCACCACCTTGTCGCTGCTTGGGTTGTATAACTTGTAGCCTTTTGAACTCGTATCATAGCCAACAAACACATGCTTAACACTTCGATCGTCAAGCTTCGCTCTCCCTTGCTGTGGCACGTGAGCATATGATATGTTCCCAAAGATTCTCAAGTGTTTGACACTTGGCTTTCTTCCACTCCATGCTTCTTGAGGCGTTTGATCTCTAACATTTCTTGTTGGAGACCTGTTGTTCAAATAAACTGCACAAGAAACAGCTTCGGCCCAAAATTCCTTGGGCATACTTTTAGCTTTCAACATACATCGAGCCATATTAAGAATCGTTCGATTCTTTCTCTCTACAAATCCATTTTGTTGGGGTGAATAAGGTACCATTAGAGGGTGACGAATTCCATGAGACTGACAAAAGTCATTAAATTCATTTGAAGTGAATTCGCCTCCTCTATCGGACCTTAGAGCTTTAATTTCATAGCCACTTTCTTTCTCCACAAGTACTTTGAAATTTTTAAAAGCAGCAAAAGCTTCAGATTTTTGGTTCAAGAAATAAACCCAAGTCTTTCTACTAAAGTCATCAATGAAAAGCAGAAAATATCTACTTTTACCAAAAGAAGGTGGATTGATTGGTCCACACACATCAGTGTGAACAAGCTGGAGCGGCTTGGTTGATCTTGACATGGCCTCCTTTGGAAAACTCCTCCTTGCATGTTTTCCAAGAAGACAAGCTTCACACAATTGATTGGGATGGTTGATTGATGGTATCCCATGTACCGTGTTCTTTTCTCCCATTGATTTTAGCACTTCAAAATTCAAGTGCCCAAATCGCATGTGCCAACACCATGATTCATCTTGCACATTAGCCTTCAAACACTTTGCATCAATTGTTTTAAGATTCAGAAAAAATAATCTATTATTTGCCATATGCACTTTAGCAATTAGAATTCCACTTGAATCTCTAAGCCAAAGATGCATATTTTTCATGTGGATGTCATATTCCTTTTCAAGAAGTTGGCCCAAACTCAAAATATTACTTTTTAATTTTGGCACATAATAAATATCTTGAATTAGCTTGTGACTACCATCTTTACAGGAGATCAGAATCGTACCTATCCCTTCGATTTGAATCTTTGAGGTATCTCCAAAGGACACATTACCTCTCACCGTTTTATTGATCTCCACAAACTTTTCTTTGCATCTACACATATGAATGCTTGCTCTATTGTCCAAATAGCACGAGTTGCAATCATCCATGTCTTCTTCCTTGAGTGCTAGTAATAACGTTGACTCATCTTCTTCTTTCTTGTCGGCAAGAAGGTTAGCTTTTTCTTCAACATTGCTACGACATTCCCAAGAGTAATGGCCAAATTTATGACAATTATAATACTCAATTTTTGATTTGTCATACCTTTGCCCATTATTTTCTTGGTAGTAGCCATGTCCTCTTCCTCCTCTTTGTCCACGAGCACGACCTCTGAATGCTTGGTGGATTTTAACTTCATTGTTGAAGTTGTTACCATTACTTCTTCCTCGTCCATGATCGCCACGGCCTCTTCCCCGGCCATTCCCTCGATAGCTTTTTTTACCTCCATAATCCTTAAAGGATGCCTGAGTTTTAAGAAGTTGCTCCAGTGGCACTTCTTGTCTCCTCTTGATCTTTTCTTCATGGGCCTGTAAAGAACCCTCCAATTGCTCCACCATCATTGTATCTAAATCTTTAGACTCCTCAATAGCACACACCACAAAATCAAATTTAGGTGTTAAAGTGCAAAGGATCTTTTCTACCACACGGACATCTTCTACGTCCTCCCCGTATCTTCTTAATTGATTCACAACAGCCTTCACTTTTGAAAAATAATCCGAAATGCATTCGGATTCTTTCATTTTTAAAACTTCAAAATCAACCCTTAGAGTTTGAAGTTTAACCTTCCTCACCTTGTCAACTCCTTGAAGAGAATTTTGTAAAATCTCCCAAGATTCCTTTGAGGTGGTAGCATCTCCCACCTTCTCAAACATGGCATCATCCAAACATTGGTGGATGAGCGTGAGGGCTTGTTGATCCTTCTTCCTTGTCTTTGACAAGACATCTTTTTCATTTTGAGTCAGAGCTTCCTCATTATCGGGTTTTGCATTCCCTCTATCTACGATTTCCCACACATCCTGGGAGCCAAGAATGGCTTTCATACGTAGACACCATTTCTCATAATTATCTTTTGTGAGACGGGGATACTGAAAAGACAGCGGACCATTACTGGCCATGGCTTTGATACCACGTTGTTGGGATAAAAAATAAATATCCCGCCCAGGAATAATATCCACGATAAATAACAACAACACAAGAGAGTAACAACGACACTAAATATTTTAACGGGGTAAAATACAATACTCGAGCAGAGCAATATTACCACTATAATATTATAACTTAGTAGTGTCAATAGACTACTACAACATTGAAAGAAATAACACTCTTTATTTTAAACACCTCACTACAATATTACTCCCACTCACTATTTATTTCACAGACTACAATCTGTGGATTATTCTCTCTATGCTCTATTCGCTCTCTGATTTTGGTGTGTCTGAAATGAGGAACGAGGGCCTCAATTTATAGCACGAAGAGTTGATAGTTTAACCAATCAAAATTGATTGGTATTCGACAACTTCAACCAATTTGCCAATTTGCATATCTTGCAAATGTTATATATCTATATTGCTGAAACTAAATTAAATAATAATCTTTCTGAAAACAAAAACAGAAAGTTAATAGAAATTAAATTCCAAAAATAGTAAACTTCTTCAAAATAAATTCTGAAAACGTTGTAGGAACAAATCAAGCACACTGAATACACAGTGTGTCCTTAAGGAAATTATTACCCTCAAATACCCGAGGTTCTGGAATATATACTCTCGGGATAGAATGATTTAACTCACCAGTGTATTGGTACCTAAAACTCTGGTGATCGGCGAACCACTCGATGGTTGTAAAACACACTGGAATATTTTGTGCAGAAGAAGAAGAAGATTCAGAAATTTCGTAAGTAAATATTCTGGGATTTGAAGGTGTATTTATAGCCAATTTCGGAGCTGTTTCTGAAAAGGTTTGTAACCTTTCAGAACATCCATAGCTGTTGGAACAGGTGTGACACTGTCTCAGAACAACCATGGTTGTTGAAAATATTGCGGGAAAATTTAAAACGGATTTAAAATAATCCGGGAAAGAAAAACGGGCCGGACCGGGTCGCGGGTCATGGGTTATTCCGGATTGAATTTTATTTAATTGATTTAATTAATTAATTAAAAATTTAAAAAGAATTTTGTCCAAAAAGATTAATCAATCAATCGATCTTTGAAAAATCCAAATCCAAATCCAAATCCAAATCTGAAGCCGAAGCCGAAGCCGATGCCGAAGCTGATGTCGAAGCCGAAGCCGAGCCGAGTGAGCGACGACGACGACGGCGCGAGGCTTCCCTTCTTCTTAGCTCTTTAAGAGCTAAAAGATGAGCTTCTCTTTATATACACAAAGATTTTCTTTCCTTCTACCAATGAGGGACAAAGTGCATAAGTGAAATGAACTTATTCAAAATTTCACTTCCCTCCATTTCTTTTCCCACCATTTTCCATTCACACCTCATTTGTTATTATTTATTAATAACAAATCCAACAATCCCCCACATGAATGGGGAATGGCTATAAACTCAAAGGAATGCACAGACGTGTGTGTGTCTTACAAGCAAGAATTGATTGCATCTGGATAAGTAGGTTTCCCTTTGAACTTTCCGTAGTAAACTTATATCGGATATACTCGGTCAATCGGTAGATTTGATATCTTTGAACCGTCGAGCTTAATTGTATACCTAGACAACATAAGTCACACAATCAATCCTTAACCATCTATGGTTCTCACAGTTGTGTTCGTTTCAGCCATGAACACCGCCTGGTTTCATGAGTGCTTACAGAATCGGCCTTTACTTTCATTCTCCTTGAAGCGGCTTACTCTTCACACTCACATAGGTGATTCCTAAACGTGTAATCCTAAAGACACACTATCTGGTCATATCCTGCCAGACTTAGCAAATCATTAAAAAGCTTTAAGCTTTATTGACTCATCAAAAAGCCTTAATGCTTTACCTCATTTTTGAACATTGTCTTCATCACGAGAATGGGTTGAGTTAGTTGACAATGTTGAACCGTCATTCATAACTTTGTTTGATCTCTTTGAACCTAGTCTCTTGGGATCTCCAATCTGCTAGGTAGAGTTACCGCCATGATGACCTGTCCTAGGCCTTTAACCCCATTCCCTTTGATGATCTTTCAACCGCCTCTCTAGATAGGCCTTTTGTAAGTGGATCCGACACGTTATATCTTGACTTTACGTAGTCAATCGTGATAACACCACTAGAGAGTAGTTTTCTAACAGTATTGTGTCTCCGTCGAATATGACGAGATTTCCCGTTATACAT